TCTTCTATTTCCTTTCCACCCCAAAAATTTAATATGAGGTTTTGCTTCATGCCAAGATCTGCATCTGAAGTAATCCTGTTCCACTTATCACAAACACTGTCACAACCAAAGCATAAAAAAGAAGAGAGGAACAGAGATGGAGACACAGAGAGAGATCCCCCTCCTGGCATGTATCTGAGACAGGAACCACTCTTGTGCCTGTAGACCAGCAGGAAGGTATCCACCAGCTGAAGAAGGGACACCAAAAATGACAGCATGGTAGGTTTTTAAGGACAAAACAGGGGAAAACCACGGCCACGATACAAGCAGCTACTTTCCAAGCTACTTAAGGCAGATTAAAACACAGGAACAGCTTCTTGGCTGGCCCCTGCCTGCAGTAGACCAGCAATAGAATTTGAACAAAACCCTGGTTGCGTTCCAGGTCTGATGCATTTAGGGAAGTTGTGTGTTGTCCCTGAAAGACCCTACCACCCCAGGCACAGCACACACTCTCACAGACACCCTTTGGCTCTCACAGTTACTAAATTTACTAGAAAAACTAAACAAAGCTGTACTTCCCAGCAATAAAATCCTTTTCTGATGGCATCACTGCAGACCCCACTCATGGATTAATCCAGAGGCTGCCCATTACCTATTAATTAGAGGACATTATTACGCAAATAATGAAAATGGATTAAACCCTCACTTAGTAATCTAATACAGTCTCTTCCTCGCTGTTCTCGAATACACCCCAGGCAAGCAGCTACAATTTTTGAATCATAAAAGTGACAATCTATGGGCTGACACTTCTTTAAAGGATATCTTTAACATCAAAATAAAGTAAAACTGTCTTGTCCCCCGAGTACACCAGCAATAATGAGTTGTTAACCCAATCTCCCCCAGCCTTCTGGGTTGAGGGAGATGGGACGTTTCCTTCCCAGAAATCTCATCCCAGGGGATCCCAGGATGCTTCTCCCCGTCGAGCATATCTGGGCACCCACAGTCCTGGCCAGATGTATCTCTGGCCTTCACCCAAAGCAGCCTTATGGGAAATACAGAGCCCCTGGGAATCACAGAACCATAGAATCTTCTGGGTTGGAAGGGTCCTTTAAAGGTCATCTAGTCCAAATTCCTCTGCAATGGGCAGGGACATCTTCAACTAGATCAGGTTCAGAGCTGGTCTCGAGTGTTTTCAGGGATGGGGCACACACCACCTCTCTGGGCAACATTGGGAGGCACCATTTCATCCCTCTTCTTTCTCCTCCCAACAGCCACCTACCCATGCTCTCTGTACTGCAGGGAGCAGATGGCACCTCCTAAACCACATCCTCCTCCTGAGATGCAGCATCTCCCCTGGCTGCCAGGTGGTTTTCCTGACAGCGTGTGTGTGTTTTACATCACTCCACAGACCCGCAGCACAGCTCCGAGATGGCTTTTGAGAGCCACGCTCACTGTCACACTGTGGCAAAACCACCCTTTGGCTCACATTTTGCCCCTTGCACTTCTTTTTTCTAGCAGAGAGGGACCTCTCTTTTCCCTGGGGCTGTGTGTGTGTGCAGAGCCAGGGCTGGGAGTGCTCTGCACCACCGATGTCATCGCCCGCCCAACGCGAGGGACGGAGGCCGAATGCCTTGTTTTGCAGCTCTTGGCGTGACTCAGAACGGCCTGGGAATTACATCTGGAATAAGTGATTAAAAAACCCTGACTACTCCTCCATTACCACGCAGGGATGGCGCTCCCAGCAGAGCCATCAGAGCTGCACCCTCGCAAATGACAGCAAAATTAGGGGTGCTGCCCGGTGAGGATGAATTACACCAGCGGTACTGAGAGCTCCTGCTCCTCCAGACTGTCCCCTGAGTATGTGGAGATGGGAATAAGGGCTTGGAAAACCCAGTGATTGGAGGGGAATCACCCAGCCTGCATTTAATGGTGCTCTGAACCCCAGCACACAGTCACTTCCTGCAAAAAGCCCTTCTCCAAGAGGCCAGTCTCCTCCTGGCCAGCATTTGCAGGCAGTAGCTGCTTGGAAAAACCTTCACAGGCATGGCAGGCATTTTGAGATGGAGGTGCCCAGACCCTCAATCATATTTTATATCTATCCCAAGCGTTAAAATATGCAGCTTGGGTTTTCTTGGTAGGGAGGGAATCCTGGTGGGAAGAAGGAAACAGGATGATTTCAGAGGAATAAATGAAGAGCAGAGGAAGGGTTTGAAGGGGAAGGGAGGAGGCCTTTTGACTAAAAGCAAAAAAAAAAAACCAGCAAAAATAACTTGCTCAGATGGTCTCCTGGGGATTTGGGGCCCTAAAATTTCAGCCACCTCCGCCTACAAAGAAGCAAAGAAGCCAAAGCATCAGAGAGACCTGAAAGATCTACCCCTGTGGTCACTAGTCCACAGGCATCAGCTGGCTTTACAAATCACTATCACAAGGAGTAGATGGCAAATTCCCTCCTATTTTTCTGGAAAGCTCCACACTGCTGCAGCCCCATCTTTCCAGGTGCCCCATAAACCTCACAGAGCTTGGGAGAAAAGCACCATTTCTGATCCCCCAGTTGGGAAAAAGAGCACAGGAATTCAATTACCAGATAAACACACTTAAGCCTATGTGCTTGGGTAGTCCCCCAGATGGGATTAACTCACAGGCTTCATAGCTGAGGACCAGGTGCACGGGGATTCCAGCCCTTATTTAGGTACCCACCAAAATCAGTTTAATGTGTCTCAGTCTAGAGTGGCTTGGTCAAGGTCGTGCATGGAGCCTGAGCAGAACTCACACCATGGAAGTCACCAGAAATTCATTGTGAAGAGCCCACAGAGGATTTAAAGGGGAAAATAAAACCACTCTCCCTCTCAGATCTGATTCAATTTGCATTAATCCAACCCTGTTCTGTTCTAAAACCCCAACCCATCCAAGCAGCTGGATCTCAAGCCTTGCCCTTTGCTCATTAGCAGAAATTAGCACCACAACAAACATTCAGCTCCAGTCTCCCACCAGATGGGACTGAGCCATGTGCTCCTCCCTTGTGCTGCCCATTCCAAGTCCTCTCTGGAGCCACTCCCATCTGCTGCCAACTACATCGTACATGATCATCCCACCTCCTGACTGATTAATAATCATTAAGGCTGAAAAAGCCCTCCAAGACCATCAGGGCTACCCTCTGACTGATCCCCACCTTGTCACCCAGCCCAGAGCACTGAGTGCCACATCCAGTCGTTCCTGGGACATCTCCAGGGCTGGGGACTCCAACACCTCCCTGGGCAGCCCCTTCCAATGCTTAACAACCCTCTCCATGAAGGTGGACACTCCTTGGCTGTAGTTAGGTTAACTGGATGGCCAGCAGCCTAAGGTTCCCCATCTCTTTTTCACTGCCCCCAAAACTCTTTCACTGACCTCTTTCATTCCAGGTGATTATCCCACCCACCCCGATTTGTCTCTGCGTTCTATAAAGTTTGAAAAGATCAAAATAACAATCTCTGGGGCCCAGAGGAAAACCCAAGCCATCCCTTGTTTTGAACTTTGTAAAAGTTTTATGAGGCAATAATCTAAAAGTCTGGATGGTTGATGCAAGTCAGGGTCATTTCACTGCAGACTTTAACATCTTCCCCCTCCTTACGGAGGGAAACATCAGAAGAACCACAGCTACTGGCTTTGGGCACTGGCTGAAGTTGTATCACTACAATTACCCATCCATACTACAGAGAGGTCCACAGACCTTGCCAAGAGGGCATATTATCATGCTAGGCCAGCCACTGCTGCTTTACTTGCAACATCAAAGACAATCCCTGCCCTGGAAAAGAAAGGAGATGCTCCACCAACACGGCAGTGGAAACACAAAACCTGGAGGGACCTGTTGTGGTCACACAGGGAGGCAGTGGCTAAAGGACCCAGGTGGGCCCCCAGGGGTACCCCCACCTCCTGGGATGCATTTCAGTCCTCAACATCAGCTTTTTGCTACCTGTCCTCACCTCACTTCCCCCCACAGGCTGACTTGTCTGTAGATACCTGAAGTGTGGGGATCAGCAGCATTCCCATCTGCACATAAGAGCTGACTGATGCCAGGATCCAGGAGGCATCACAGAGGGGTTTGAGTTTGGAGCGACATTTAAAAATCATCTAATTCAAACCCCTGCTATGAACACGGACAGCTTCAATGAGATCCCCACCTAATCCGGCCTGGAATGTTGCCAGGGATGGAGCATCCATTACCTCTCTGGGCAACCTGTGCCAGTGTTTTACCAGCCTGATTGTAAAAACCTTCCTCCTTGCATCTAGTTTAAATGGACCATCTTTCAGCCTAAAATCCATACCCCTCGTGATATTGCAACAGGCCCTGCTAGAACTGTCCCCATCTTTCTCGTAGCCCCTTTAGGAGCTAGAAGGGGCTCTAAGGTCTCCCTGGAGCCTTCTCTTCTCCAGGCTGAACAACCCCAACTCTCTCAGCCTTTCCTCGTGGGAGAGGTGCTCCATCTTACCTACAGTCCCCTGCGAGCCAAGGTGATCTCAGCAAACTCCAGGACGTGGCAGAGGGACACATAACAGTCTGTGCCGTGGGACAGTGGTCCAACATGAGTAAAAAAGTGTGTGCAAGTGTGCTTGTGAGTGCCTTTGTGATTGTGTGGGCACATATTGTGCAGCCACCTCCTCCCAGACTCATATGTGCATCTTCCCACCTCCTCCAACACCAAGCACAGCCCTGCCTGGATGTAAATCCACACCAACTCCAACACCTTCATCGCCCATCTCTGTCCTTCTGCCCACTTGGGCACCACAGAATGGGAAATGGCCTCGAAATAATTACTATAATTACAGCTTTGTAGGTCTTAAATGTAGCAAAGAAAGACAGTCCTCCTCTTCACGACATTCCCAGTATGACATATCACAACAAACAGCCCAAGGGAAATCTGTGGAGATGGACATAAATGTTTTAATGTGCTCATGATAAAGCTTCTCAGTACTTACTGTCCACTGCCAAGAAACTGGGCTGCTCCCCACACTTGCATCACTGCCCAGGCATGCATCCTCACCTGTTGTACACCAGGAGTCCTGCAAAATCCACCTGCTCTCAGGAGTATTTATGACTTCACGCTAAAAGAAGGCTATGTTCCTTTTCTGTTCCATTTAAAATAAAATAAAAAAATTAGAGAGTGGACAGACAGCTACGAATTTCTGAGGTTTGACAGCCCATAATCAGGGATGAACCCGCCCGAAATAGAAGGAAACAACCAGGAAACAAGCCCCTGAACTGTTTCACATTCATTTTTAGCAAGCAAACCAGGTGAGCGCAGCAACTGCTATTTACCCTCTGAGTCACGGGAAACAGCACCCAAAACAGAGGCCTTGCCCAAAAAAAAAAAAAATTATACAGACGATTTGAGGCAAGTCTCAGGGCTTGCAAGTTCCCTGCGAAATCCAGGCTTGGGATAAAGAGGAGCTCCAGGGCTGAGGTCAGGCTGCTGCTGGAGCACCTGCACTTAGCAACGCATCATTGACCGAATTCTGCCCGGGGCATCAAAGCCCCACAGACGTCACCGGCTGCACAGTCTGGCCCAGTAACCCGTAATTTCTCTGTAATCAGAAGCAACAGGGTGAGAGTTTTAGTGGCCATACATAATTCATGTCTCCTGGCACGGCTGGGGAAGCGGGAGATGAACACCACAGCCGGCAGCAAGGAATGGGACACCCTCCATCACCAAAGGCGAGCTCCAAGCGCCCCGCAGCACCCCAAAGGAAGCTGGGAGAGTATCCTCCCTTCTCTCCCTGCTCCCCTGCAGTGTACCACAGCTTTTTCCCCGTGTTCCCCATGCAGCGGTAACACATGGATAGCTTCACTGAGGCTGGTACCTACATGCTCGTGGGTGTCTGCTGCTCCACAGCAGGGACTAGGGCTGAGCATCCTGGTCCCACACAGCCCCCCCTCCCTCACAGAGTGTGAAAAAAGCCAGTTGAGTAGTTGATCAGCTGTAAGCACCATTCAGTACTCCAAGTATGACACGCCCCACACCCTCAAGGTCTCTGTGGTAGTTTGAGAATACCCTATGGAGTTGCTCCCTTGCTACTTATTTTCTCACTCCTATTGCCAGTCCACCATCGGCCTCATCATGATCATCACAGCTTGTCTCCTGCTATTTGACCTCCAGTAGGCACCCCCAGGCACCAGATCCAGCCCTCACCCCTGCTGTGACCCCCCCCTTATCCGCACACCCAGGGAAGCTGATTTTATTCCACTTTTCCATTTATTCTCCCTTGTGTGTTCTTCCCCAGCCCACTCTGATCTTTCCCTTACTCCACTCTTGGTTTTGGACATCCCTGGAAACTCCTGAAGCAAAACTTATACCAAGTTTTATACTACTCCAAAACACGCTTCTCCCTAAAACTATAATAAACTCACTCTACCAAGGGCAATCACACCCTTCAGCTCCCACAGCTTTCCAAAAAGAGATTTCCTCACCTGGACACCCATGGGTGAGTTTCACACCAGGGCCAAAGCTCTACCAGGTCCCTTCCACATGCAGAGTCTCAACTCCACTGTCACAGGAGCTAAACTGGAAGCACCTACCAGGGACTCCTTCCTCTGTTTTATATCAAAAAGACACAGGGCTGAGAACAGAAATAATCCAGGTCCACCCATCCAGGACACTGACCATGGTGCCACCAGGTCACACTTGGTGAAGCAGAAGCTGCTGCTCCTTCAAAGGAGCCAAGGATGCTCGTTGTGGCAGCTGCAACCCAAGCACCAGCAGCAGGAACCTTCTGCTGGAAAAGAGCAGCCAGTACAACACCCCAGAAATGGGGATTAGGTCATGCTGCAGCCAAAATATCTGGGTTTCTCTGGGACGAGGGCTCTCCACCTGGCACGCAGTCTCCACCGATCTCCAGTGATCGCATAAATATCAGCCCTGATTGAACTGCACAGGGCATGACATTTACCACCAGGATGTAACCTTTGCATACATCTCCTTCAAGTGATTAGTGCTGAGCACACCCCGTGCCATTTAGCCATCACTGCTGAATGATGATCAGATTAAGCCATGACAGAGCTGACGAAAAATGTGTGAACAGAGTACGTGGGGAGCACCAGCCAGCGCTTCCCAGCCCGACAAGGAGCCAAGGGCAGTGGGGGGAGCAAGGAGAGTATCAGGATTTGAGGTTGCCTAAGCAGAGCAGACCAGGCAGTCAACATTGAGTGACATTTGCCACTGCAAATCCTGCCAGTAAGGTAAGAGAATGCTCTTCTGACAAGCACCTTGGGCTGTAAACCTCAGCACATCTGGGGAAGGTCGGCAGCCAGCATGTGGAAGAGATGAGGGCAGAAGGCACAAATTGGGAACCATTGGAAAATCTCTGCAAGAACTGGTTTCCTACAGAAAACAGGAGCTCTAGCAACAGCCCTCTTCGCACAGAGAGCTTAAAGTGCTACTCAGGAGATCTGTTTTCAGAAATTTCACTCAAAAATTGAGGTCTAGTCTTGGAGAGGAAGACTAACGTATCTCAAACCTTGCTAAGGCCACACCTATCTGCTCAGAGGACAGGAAATGAGACCCTTCCCAGGCCACCAACAGCATCACTTACTTTCTCCCTTTCTTGTTCTGAACCTGTGCAGCCTGACAGTTACCACACAACTTCTTCAATCCCCCTGCCACCTACCCAAGGTGCAGCAAGGGGTGAGTCCCACACGCTGACTGCGGTGCGAGCCCCTGGAATGATCTTGGTCAGACCATGTGTCATTCCTCATGTCACTTGCATGCATGATTGATGGGGAGACCCAAGGAGAGGAAGAGGATTTCAGAGGGGAAAAACACGGTGACAGCTCCTCAGCTTGAATAATCTTCACTGCCACTGTCACCAGCCACGGGGCCACCACTGGCTCTCCCCTTACATGTTCCTCCTCAGTCCCAAGACCAGGCACACACAAACACTTCTGGCTCCCCAGCAAAGACAGGAGCTTTGGGAAGTGCACCATGCAGCAACACCTCCAAAAGACCTGTGTCCTTCACCCCACTCCATGTCCTGGGATACCAGCACCCAACACACACAAAATACAGCCCCGAGTCCAAAAAAACAGTCTATTACCTAAACCCTCCATCCCCTCCCCACACACAGAGCAGATCACAGACATCACTCTCCAGGGCATGTTTGGTATAGGGCTATAGGGGGTTAAACTTTATGTGCTCAAACCCAACATTTTAAACCCAAAAAAGGAGGTGGAGGGGTGGGAACATGTGCCATACCCCAAGCTCTGCACTCCTATATTCAGGGAGATCTCACCTGAATTCTTATACAAACCTACCCGAGCCCCCGAGAAAATTAAAATAAAAAACTAAGGAAGCGAAAATAAAACCTGATAAAATTAAAATTAAATCTAACAAAAAAAAAATTAAAATAAAACCTTAGAAAATTAAAACAAAAACTACCTCCTGCAATCTGACGGTCCCTGGATCAGTTGCTGTACGTCCTCGGGAGTTTTTGGGGAGGACACCTCCACACCAGGAAATAATCAACCGTGTCAAAATGACTGCACCCCATCTTCTGCCTGCAAGAGCTCCGGCTGGTGGGATTTTTTTCCTACAGCAGTTTGACTCAGAGGTCTGGCCAGACTCGCAGCTCTCAAATTCGTTTAATAAATCATCTCCTAACCCCGCCCAGAAGCAAAAGGCAAATCTGTGTCTCCCAGGCACCTCCTCATTGGACTAACGTGCCTCTTGCTAATGACCCTGCGAGGAATAGCACGGCTCGAGTGACGTGTTTATGAAGATAAATATTTTAACTTCACAGTTAGCGCTGTAAACTCGTTCCAGACGGAGAGTCTCTTAAGTTGGTTCCAGGAGAAAATGCCTCGATAATTAATTTTTCTCCTTTTTTTTTTTTAATTTTTTTTTTAAGGCTATGAAATATTAATTGCAGTGAAAACACGTAGCAGTGTCTTTCAGGTGCAATTAGTAGCTGCCGGTGGACGAAAAAAAAACCTGGCTGGTGAAGCCCGGGGAAGGGATGAGAGTGATTTCTCCCCTCGGCAGAGGGAATGCAGCGCTCTGCCCTATCTAATCTCACTATAGCAACGGGAAGACCTTGGCAACCCTGATCTTTACAGTTATTAAGATGGGAGCGGGAAGAGTCGGGAGCACAGTGCCGAGGGATGCTCAGCCAAGAGGCTGACTGCTGAGGAAATAAAGCATCCTCTCTCACTCGGAGGGGGGTGAAGGGTCTGCCAAGCTCTCGGAGGGGTGGAGACAGGAGCCCAGGGCCGGCTCCCCAAAACTTTCTTGTGGTGGCTTTTTATGCCGAAGGGGAGACACGCATTTCCCCACCACACCCTGGAGAAGGCTCTGCTGCTCCTGTAGCAGAGGAGGCCACGGAGATGCTCCGAGGGCTGGAGCCCCTCTGCTCTGGAGACAGGCTGGGAGAGCTGGGGGTGTTCAGCTTGGAGAAGAGAAAGTTCCAGGGAGACCTGAGACCCCCTCCCAGCACCTAAGAGGGACTTATAAGAAAGACGGGGACAAACTTTTCAGCAGGGCCAATTGCAAAAGGACAAGGAGTGATGGTTTTAAACTTAGAAAGGGTAGATTTAGACTAAACAGAAGAATGTATTTTTTCATGCTGAGGGTGGTAAGGCACTGGCACAGGTTACCCAGAGAAGTCATGGACACCCCATTCCTGGAAACATTCTAGGTTAGGCTGGACAGGGCTCTGAGCAACCTGATCTAGTTGAAGATGTCCTTCCTCACAGCAGAGGCTTGGAGTAGATGGTCTCCCAACTCAAACCATTCTGTAATTCCCCAATTCCCCAAAAGTTCCGAGAAGGAGATGCTGCTCTCAGGATGAGCAGCCAGATGCCCTCCCTCAGCCCCCAGATTCAGCCATGAGGACGTGCCCAGACAGGATGGGGACAAGGAGGCTCCCCCCTGACTGCCACCCTGCCTGGGGCTGGCACAGACCTGCCCCGCTGCCACCTCGGCACTGCCTCCAGAGATTGCTCGCTCTCGGCTCCCGCCGGGATGATTCACCCTCAAATGCAAAGGCATGAAGTGCTCAGATCAGTTTATTGCAAAATACTACATCTTGGGGACTGCCTGGCCCAGAGCCACTTCAGTCCTGGGCTCCCAGACAGCGGGGACAGCCCCAGGGTTAACCTGGATGCCCCTCCAGCTCCTGGCCATAGCTTGGTCACAACCTGGACGGAGCAGAGAGCTGCAGGAATTCTCCCCTCTTCAAGAGGAGCAGTTCACTAAGACCTCATTAGAAGTCCTGCACCACCCTTTAAAAGGGTTGCTAGGCTCTGCAAAGCCAGACCCTGCAGCTCACAGACCAGCCCTGAACATCACCCACCCACTCTGTTCCATCATCTCGTCATGACAGACACCCACCAGAACAGGCTACTGACTCAGGAGGACTG